GTTATAATATTTGATGATTATGTTTATTACTATAATGTTTATATTTTATATATTAATTAAACTAGAATTTTATAAATTACTTTCCCTTAAATCATCTCATTTGATTCTTGTAACTACCTTGGGAGGAAAATAGGATATAGTATTATCTCTATTTTTAATTTAATTATTAATTTTATTAATTTATTTTTAATTTCCTCATTTTGAGATATAACTGATAAACAAAAATTACATATAAAAATTACATATTGAAGGGACACAACGTGATACTTTGATATATGTATATATTGTGAAATGATGACAACAAGTGAATTAACATATTACCTAGAAGATTTTTGGTAGTTGGAATACTTGAAATCCATTCTCTTCACAAATTCCAAGTATACAACATACTAATATTAGATACCATGCTATACATTAGGTCTCCAGAATTTATTCATCTTAAAGTTGAAAGATTCTATCCCTTTAGCAATATCTCTCCATTTCCAAAGTTCCCCATCCCTGGAACCATCCTTCTCTATTAGATCTGGTTTGTTTCTGTATCTGGTTTATTTTCACTTACCATAATGTCTTTCAGGTTTATCCATGTTGTCTGAGATGGTAAGATTTCTTTCTTTTTAAAGGCTGAATAGGAAGACACACACATATACCCCCTCCACGTGTGTGTGTGTATGTGTGTGCATGTGCACACATGTGTATGTGTGGTGTGTGTGTGTGTGTGTGTATATATATATCTCTCTATATAATTTTCTTTCTTATTTTTCAGGCCAGGCATACCAATATTTAATGAAATATAAAAAAAGTCTATTTTGTTGAGAAATTCCTGGCGAGAACTGGCAATATGTACTTCACTGTATTGTAAAAAGACATTTAGTGACTTCTCACTAAATGCTGTATGGCTTCAGGCCCAAGACAGAAGATCTGTAATGTAAACATTCAGACATTATAGGTTACCTGTTTCTAAATACAGACCTACTATGAAAAACCAAGCTAAGCCAAAAAACCTTTATATTTGATAAGCTTTTCCTAATAAGTCCCATAACTGATGAGGCATTGGATGCCTAGTTACAAACTGTTTAATAATTAAAATCACAAAAATGTCATTGACCAACTATGGATGGTTCACAGATGCTGGCAGTGGTGCTGTCTTGCTTATCAGCTGTTTTTGATGTTACCAGAAGTGTAGATGCAACCATGTTGCCTGTCTTTCTAACCATCCCAGGGCGTAATTCACTTGGTTAATAACATATTAATATTTGAAATTATTTACCTATAATACTGAGTAGGGAGTACTGCATATTTAAGAACACATGGATTTTTAGAGTCAATTATTTTTTTTTTCAATCTTAAAGATCCTCCAAATAACTATTCCTTTAATCTCATGATTATCTCCACCCACGTTACACATACAATGGAACCACTGACTTGACCATCGACATCACTGTTCCCTCTACAAGTGTCCTCTAACTGACGTGGTTTTTAATTGGGGGTAGGGAACAACGATGCTGCCATTCTCTTAATGCTTTGGATATGAACTCTTGACTAATGATTCTTCATTTTCCTCTGAGCCATGAAGATAACACAAGTGACTGACTCAGCATGAGTTGAGGCCTAGCTTTGCTGGTGTGTGATCTTCATGTGGAAAGCATTAGAAGTGATTTATAAAAGTAATAAAATAATTCCCTTTGTACACACTTAATAACAAATAGCTTTGTATATCACATTTTCTTTAACCATCCATCCACTGACATATTTAAGCTATTCTCACATATTGCCAATAATGCTGTAGTATATATAGGATGGTGCGTATCTATAATAGTTCTTTTTTCACATTTTGAGGCACCTGCATACTATTTTCCCATAATGGCTGTATCAATGTACATTCCCTTCAATGATGTGTAAGAATTCTCTTTTCTCTTATTGCCAGTACTTATTTTCTGGCTTTTGGTAAAAGTTATCATAACAGTTGGGAAGTGATATTATGTTGTGGTTTGATTTGCTTTTTCCTTGTGATTTGTGATGTTGAACACCTACTCATATCCATCAGCTATTAGTGTATCTTATTTGTATCATTTCTGTTTTAGAAGTGAAGACTGATTGTTAAATTTTCATAGCAAATCAGTGAAGAGGCCAGAATTGAAATTCATTTCTCAGATGTATAACCTGGTAGTGTGATATCATGAAGTGGTAATGCTGATAAAGACAACTAGAAGAGCACCACCCCAGAGATAGTTTACTTCTTCTTCTCCAATCTGGATGCTTTTTATTTCCTTTTCTTGCCTAATTATCCTGGGTAGAAAATCCAATACAATATTCAATAGAACATTGTTCCTGATTTTGAAGGGAAAGCACATTGTCTTTTATTAATAATAAACATGTTAGATTTACAGTTTTTCTTTTTTGTGGGGTAGATGCACTTTATTGGGTAAAGGATGACTTCTTCTATTCCTAGTTTGTTGAATGTCTCCATCATGAAAAGATGCTAGATTTTTTCAGGGTTTTTTTTTTTTAATCTATTGAGATGATCATGCTATCACTATTCTCAAACTGAACTTACTGGGAATACACATAATTCCTGGTAAAAACTGATTAGTTTAAATAGATATTTAAAAATATTCAAATTGAAGAAGAAACTTCTTTCAGCTGAAAGGACCAGTAAAAGATTAGCACCCCAATTTAAGTTTGAGTTTTATTATATTTAGTAATAATAGTATCTGCAATGATAATAAAATAATTTAAAAAAGAGGTTTCTCAAGATAGAATTCACACATACCTTTCACCTATTTAAAGTATATAATTCAATAGTTTTGAGTATATTAAATTTTAAAATTATGGCAGAATATTTTAAGTTTACAAATCAGTGGCGCTAATCATATTCTCAATGTTATGCAACTATTGCTACTATTTCCAAATTTTCTATCATCCCCAAAAGAAACTCCTGTTCTTACTGCCAATTCCTGTTGACTTCTAATCTACTGTCTCTATGAATTTGATTATTCTAGGCATTTCCTGTAAGTATAAGCACACTAGATTTGTCTTTTTGTGTCTCATTTATTTCACTTAGCACAATGCTTCAAAATGCATTTATGAGGGTGAATATTATGCTCTTGTGGTGTGAGCATTCTGTAAATGCCTAGTAGCTCTAATTGCTCTATAGTATTATTTAAGCCCATTATATCCTTATAACTGTTCTGTCTAGTTCTAGTTTTTATTAAAAATGAAGTATTAAAGCCTCCAACTATTATTTTGTAACTGTCTATTTCTTATTTTAATTTTGTCACTTTTTGCTTTGAATATTTTTGGGCTTCTTTATTAGTTATATCTGTTTATACTTGTTATCTTTTCTTGCTCTATTGAATCTTTAATGCATATATAATGTCTTGGGGGACTGACGGATGGAGAGATGATAGACAATGGGTAAAGGGGTTGCAGGTGGAAAGGAGGAATAACTTACAAGGTTGTCCAGCACAGTAAGGTAACTTTAGTTGGCAATAATTAATTGAATATTTTACAATAGCTAGTGAAGAGGATTTTTAATGTTTCCAACACAAATAAATGATATATGTCTGAGGTGATAAATAAGCCAATTATCCTGATGTGGTCATTATACATTGTATACATATATTGAAACATCACCCTGTACCCCACAAATATATATAACTACTGTGCAAATAAAAATACATTGCCCTTTTTTTAAAATCTCTTATAATCTTTTACTTTCAGTCTCTTTGTGGTCTCATGTATAAATATAATCTCTAATAGCTTATAAATGGATCTTCTTGTTTTTCTAAATTCAATTTTCCAATCTCTATTTTTTCATACCTTTATTTTATTTATTTATATGTGGTGCTGAGGATCATACCCAGTGTTTCACACATGTGAGGCAAGCGCTGTACCACTGCCCCAATCTCTATTTTTTAATAGTTGAGTTTCACACACTTACATTTGTCTAATTCTTATTGCTTTCCATCTAGTTATTGTGATTTAGTTCTTAAAAGAACTTATTCATGATACTTATCTATTGTTTTCTTTATGTATTATATGAATAGATTTGGATCTTCAAGTTTTTTTATATACATTTATATATATATTTTAATACTTTTTTATTTGGTTGATTTTTTATTGTGTGTGTATGTATATATATATATATATTTTTTTGGGGGGGGGTACTAGCGATTGAACACAGGGAAACTTAACCATTGAGCCATATCCCCAGCTTTTTTCATCTTTCACTTTGAGACAGGGCCTTGATAAGTTGCTTAGGCTGGCTTTGAATTTGCAATCCTCTGCCTCAGCCTCCTGAATCACTGGGATTGCAAGCTTGCACCACCATTCCTGGCTACTGTATACTATTTTAATGCTCTTCTTTTCTTTTTCAATGTATTACAAAAAAAAAAAAAAAACTTTTTTTTCCTGGTTACCTTGGGATTACAATTAACATTGTAAAACATGTTAAACTTGTAACAAACCTGTTTGAATTATATCAATTCAGTTCTTGCACTATATAAATTTATAAATATATGTACTTGCATATTATATTCCATAGGAAAAAGAAAAATTACAAGTGATACCAAAAATACAATAACAATGGCTTTTTATTTACCTATGTAATTACTTTCACTGAAAAGTTTTTTCTCTTTCCTACCTTCCAGGTTTAAGTTGATGTTTAGGGTCCTTTCATTTTAGTCTGAAAGGTTCCCTTCAGTTTAGGGAAGGCCTACTGATAATGAATTCTCAACTCAGCTTTTGCTTATCTGAAATTTCATAATTTTTCTTTTATTCTTGAAAGATAACTTAAACCATTATACAATCTTGATTGACAGTTTCTTCTTTCATGACTTTAAATATGTCATCCCATTACCTCTGGTCCCCATGATTTTTTTTTTAAGAGAGAGAGAGAGAGAGAGAGAGAGAGAGAGAGAGAGAGAGAGAGAGAGAGATTTTTAATATTTATAGTTATCGGCGGACACAACATCTTTGTTTGTATGTTGTGCTGAGGATCGAACCCGGGCCGCACGCATGCCAGGCGAGCACGCTACCGCTTGAGCCACAACCCCAGCCCCCAAGAATTAACTGTTTTGTTGTTGTTATAAAAGTAATAAATGACCATTATATAAAACCTGGAAAAATCAGAAGCAGAAAGGAGAAAACAATCATTAGGCAGAAAGCAGTGAACACTGGTGTGATCTTTCTACCTCTTTCTTTGAATATTGCACAGTTGTAATCACATTTCAAAAATAAATTTCAGCACCCCCCTCCTCAATGTTATTATGTAACTTTTTCTGTAGTACTGAGGATTGAGTATAGGGGCATTCTACCACCGAGCTACATACCTAGCCCTTTATTATTATTATTATTTTTAGTTTTGAGGCATTATTTTGCTACTTCCTAAGTAGCCTCAGTTGGCCTTGAACTTGTGATCCTCCTTCCTCAGCTTCCTGAGTCACTGGTATTACAAGTAAGTGCTGCCATAACTAGCTCATCAGACTTTCTTTATGTCATCATATGATAAATATAATGTATCAATTATTGTTAATAAGGTTTCTACACTAACCCACAGAAACCCTTATAAATACAACAGGCAGAAGGACAGCTACTGGGAGAGATGGCATGAAGGACCAATGGAAAGAGAGGGTTATTAAGAATCCTCTGGAGGGAACTGGAGTGAGGAACTCAAAGGAGAAGTAGGGAAGACGGAGGAAAAAGGGAAACAGAGGCAGTAGTAGGGCAGGGGATGGAAGGAAAGCAACATGTGAGGGTCAAGAGAGTAGTAAGGGAAAGGGTGGGGTGAGGACTGTGGCCAGGCTGTTAAGGAACCAGGTCAGTAATGGCAAAGATGTGAAGGAAGCAAACAGTATGCAAATTGGAAAAAGCCAATGGAAAAATTAGTTGATTAGAAGTTTACTACTGGGCAGCCAATCTCAGCAGAGAAGTGTAAACTAAAGATTGAATGCAATTAAAGGGGGTGAGAACAGAATGTAAACCCCTCACATGGAGAGAGGCTGCTTCTTCAAGTAGCTTAGCAAGGTGAGTCTGGAGGCACAGTTAACTGTGTAACCTGAGTCTGATTTCAACATATGCACTATGGAGCTATCATTAAAATAACAGCGAAGACTACTGAGTTACTTTTCCATGCCAGGCACATTGTTTAGGCATGTTGCTGCTTTAGCTCAATAAAGCATCATGGCTACCCTACAAAGTAGGTGCTATTATTATTATTATAAGCTTAAAATTGAAGAAACTGAGGTTGAAATATTAGTTTACTAAGATGATAAGCCCAGGAATGGAGAAGCTGGGTTTGAGCTAACACCTAGAAAGCGTATTCTTAGATCATAAAAAACTGACTTGTTTTTTTGGTACAGCAAAGAGCCCCAAAGGGGCAATTCAAAGGGAAATGCTCATTTTTTTTGGAGGAAAATACTAATTCTTTTTCTCTTTTTTAGTCCTTGAGATGGAATGCAGAGAATCATGCAGTCATGCTTGAAAGTGCTCTACCACTGAATTACATACTAGTTCTTTTTTATTTTGAGACGAGGTCTCACAAAGTTGCCTAGGGTAGCCTTGGACTTGTGATCTTCCTGCCTGAGCCTCCCAAGTAGCTAGGATTCCAGGTGTGTATCACCACACTTGGCTGATATTAATTCTCGAAGTGGTAGAATGCAGGAGTCACTGCTGACTTAAGAATGGCTATGTCACCTTAAGATACAAAAAAAGGGAGGATGGGACAATAGTAGGAAAAAAAGGAAGTATTTTCTGATTTTGAAAGTCATGAATGGCTATTATAGATAACTCAGAAAAGTAAAAAGAAAAAAGTCATCATCAGGCAGATGGCCATAAAGAACATGTATTTCTCCTGTAACATGCAAAAGCGATTGCACTGGGCTTCATGGAATTTTGTACTTGAACAAACTCAGGAGATTTGGGCAAACTGTCAATAAAGTCCAAACTTCTTAGCAGAAACTAGAATGTTTTTCAGGGAACTGAGTATCCTGAGGGAATGGCCAGATGTAAGAGGACAACTGAAATTTGGAGGAGAGGAAAAAAAGAGTGTGCTTGGTTGTTCGACTTCCAAAGAAACAAGGATGGAACTGGTAAGTGATTCCCTTTGGGTATCCAGAAAAGAGGTTGGGCCCAAGAATCTGAACAGCTAATGGAGAGAAATATTATGCATGAAGAGGGATAGTTGGAAAGGATAGTCAAGACTATAAAATATCCCATAAGGTGAAAGAACAGTAATTCCTATCAGAAGCTGGGCAAATGTCAAGCTGCACATTGACATTTGCACTCATAATCTAGGATAGTTAACATTAAGGAAAATTATGAAATGTTCTTTAGTTCTGTCAATAAGAACAACCATTTTTGAAAAGCTCATCTGCTGTTTCATCAGAATTGTCTGGTCAACATAAGCAAGGAAATTTTACCACCTTAAGAATATCTGTGTCGATTTTTCCCAAAGGTAACAAGCTTTTTGCATCAACCAGATAACATTATATAAATGTTATTCCTTATCAGCGGGTGTTTGTTCATAGGTTACTTAAAAGTAAGAATAACAATCAAAGTTCCTGCTTATAAAGTCAACCTGATCTGAAAGAGAAAATGGATTCAGGTCATGGAAGACACAAGACCATACCAAAAGGAATCTTTCACTCATGAGTTATTTTACTTCATTTTCATCAAAATAGGAAGCAAGGGAACAAGATCCCAGGAACACAGCACCATGTACTGCTATCCCTTCTTTTCATATTTAAACCTACTCCCAAAGTATTGGGGGCTCTTGGGTCAAGCCATACCTCAGTCTCTTGTCTACTCAACAATTAATACTGTATTTAAAAAAAAACTGGAAAAGAAAGAAAAGACAGTTATCAGTACCATTTCTCTTTAGATAAATATATAATTATTTTTTACGCTATCATAGACATATTACAGAAAGGGAAGTGGGGCATTAGTGACCAGGTGACTGGTTCACAAGGACCCTGGAGTTGACAAAAGAGAATGGGCTTGCATTCTTCAATTTGGTCAAGTGGACTCTGCAAAGCTCTTACTTCCAATGGAATATACATATGCATGGTAGACAGTGACAGGGCACAATTGCTTTTAAAAAATATAATACACAGCTAAAACTAAAGTCAACACACTGGAATATACTTACAGGTAGTTAAATGCAACACTGCAACAAATTTGTTCAGTACTGAATTGCTATTATTCCCAAAACTGCAAAGTTACTTCCCCCCCCCTTTGCACACTCAAATTTCTTATCTTTTCCTTTTGTGATACACAGCTAATTGCTTAAAGGAATACTCCAAGAGGAACTAGTGACAAATTAGAAAAACAAACAAGAGCAAACACTCCTTAAAGACTAAAACAAACCACATCACCAGCAACTACAAAGGTTATTAAAAATCTAGATAACAGTCTTGCTGTACAAGATATATCACTGCATGTTTCACTGGCTTGCTACAGATAATTTGGAATTCAGACTTTTTCTTATGTTTAAAAAATGGTAAAGTTTACTATTTATTTAGAATTGGATTTGTAGAAACAATCATCATGCACAAATTCTGAGTGTAACCTTAAGTTGCCCACTAACTACTGAAAGGCATTTAATCGTCACATTGAAGGATTTTCCTCATTGGGGAAAATAATTTTTATTCAACTGGAGTTACATTCAAGATATACTCTTCATTTTTTATATATTTTTTGCATCATAATTATAAATAATAGTGGGATTCACTGGTACATATTTGTACATGCATTCAATAGAACAATACAGTTAGTCAGTTTCATTGCCCTATACCTAGACTTTTCCCTTCCTCTAATTCTATTGGTGTTCCTTCTATTTTCATGAGATCTTTTCCCACATTTTCTTTTTTTTTTCCCTCTCTAGCTTCCACCCATGAGAAAAAACATATAACTCTTGACTTTCTGAGTTTGACTTATTTCACTTTAACATAATGCTCCTCAAATTGCACCCATTTTCCTACAAATGACATGATTTCATTCTTCTTTATGGTTCAATAAAACCCCATTGTATATGTAAGCCATGTTTTTATTTTTTAAATATTTTTTTAAATTTGTAGATGGACACAATATCTTTATTTATTTTTATGTGGTGCTGAGGATCGAACCCAGTGCCTCACACTTTCAAGGCAAGCGCTCTGTCACTGAGCTACAGCCCCAACCACATTTTCTTTTTGGTTTGGCTGTTGTGAATTGTGCTGCCATAAACATGAATATGCATATTGTTATAGTATGCTGACTTTAATTCTTTAAGATAAATAATGAGATATTATATAGCTGGGTCATATAGTGATTCTATTCCTTATATTTTGAGAAACCTCCATACTGATTTCCATAGTGGCTATACTAATTTATAATCCCATCCAAGTATATAAGGGTTCCTTTTCCTCACATCCTCTCCAGCACTTATTATCATTTGTATTCTTGATAGCTGCCATTCTAACTGATTGAAATCTCAGTGTAGATTTGATTTACATTTCCCTGACTGCTAAAGATATTAAACATTTTTTCATATATTTGTTGACCATTTGTATTTCTTCTCCTGAGAAGTCTCTGTTTAGTTCATTTGCCCATTTATTGACGGAGTTATCTGGATTTCCGGTGTTAAATGCTTTATACATTCTGGATATTAATCTTCTGTTTTAAGAATAGCTAGCAAAAGGCATACGCCTGTAATCCCAGCAACTCAGGAGGTTGAGACAGGAGGATTAAGAGTGCAAAGCCAGCCTCGGCAAAAGAAAGGCACTAAGCAACTCAGTGAGACCCTGTCTCTAAATAAAAACACAAAATAGGGCTGGGGATGTGGCTTAGTAGTCAAGTGCCCCTGAGTTCAATTCCCAGTATCCCACTGGCCCCCCAAAAAGGAGCTAGCAAAGATTTTCTCTTATTTTGTAGGTTCTCTCTTCATGCTTTTATTTCCTTTGTTGTACAAAGGCTTTTTAATTGGATGCCATTCATTTATTAATTCTTGTGATCATTTCCTGGGCTTTTTTTGCATCCTACTGAGGGAGTTGTTTCCTGCCTATATGTTGGGGTGTTTTCTTCTAGCAGTTGTAAACTTTCTGGTCTAATTCCCAGGTCTTTGATCCATTTTAAGTGAACTATCATGCAGGGTGAGAGATAGGGAACTAGTTTCATTCTTCTATACATAGATTATCTGGTTTTCCCAGCATCATTTGTTTAAAAGGCTCTTTTCTCCAACTTAAGGACACAGTCTTTATGTGGTATAAAAATTTGTATCAGGGCTGGATTGTGGCTCAGTGGTAGAGTACTCGCCTACGTGTGAGGCCTTGGGTTTGATCCTCAGCACCACATAAAAAAGTAAATAAAATAAAGGTATTGTGTCCAACTACAACTTAAAAAAACTTAAAAAAAATTGTATCAAAGTTAAAGATTTCTGCTTTAAAGAATATTGGAATTGCAATATAAAAATGCACCCAGCATAGCTCTTTTCAACATTAGCATCAAAGTACAGAGTGACTTCTTTAAATCATTTAAGGAACTGGCAAGTTTTTTTGCATATCTCCAAAGACACCAAAGGCATATCAGTTTGGAAATGAGATGAATCTACCTATACAAGCTGAGCCACATCATGGATACTGGGTTCTGTCTTTACAATTTAATTCAGTAACAATGATGCAGCTTAGCATGCTTTTAGAAATGAGAAATATATACAGCAAACATTACATAATAAGTTCCTGGATTTATGTCCGATTTAGGAAATAACTAAGCATGCACAGATTAGAACTGCCATCACAGTTCATGATCTCCCAGAACTTTGTCAACTAGTTTAAGTTTTTGTACCCTGGATTCAGAGAATATTTTTGCTCGTGGTAATTTGTTCTAGGAAGCTGTGATTTTCTGTATCTGCCTGTTACTTCAGTTTTGGGGGCAGTGGTTTGTCCTCTGACCTCAATTCTCTGATGGAGCTAGGAAGTATTTATTCTTAATATGCTCAGCTTTTTTTCTTGTTGGGAAGAGAGGAGTGATGACTTCCAAGCTCCGTAAATGCCAGATTCCTAACTAGAAATCTAAATTCCTATTCTTGATTGCTTCATTTTGACTTCTTCCATGGTTAGCTTCAGAAATATTTTTAATCCGTTTCTTCAATTTTGTATATTTAGTTCCTCTGTGTACCAGGCAGTTAAACGTACCATTTTCATAAAACACACAAGAACAAATTTGATTTTTTCCTTTGTGTTCATTGTCTGCCACTTTATGTTATTAGTGTAGTTTTAAAGGATTCTAGTCAAAAAAGGGGAAAAAAGACTTCCTGTGACTAAAATCCATGTCTTAAATTTTTTGATTTTATTCTTAGCCTTTAGCAGAGTAATAGCAAGGGAGCAGGACTCAACTTCTTGTTAATAGTAAACTCAAAATTTACTGATATTTATTAAATATCCATATTTATTTAAATTATATAAAACCAAATCTGAAGAAAAAGTAATGTGGCTCTAATCCAATAGGACAAACCAGAATTAAATAACTGCATGAGATCAGCAATAGATGCATATGCTGCGATGTCATCCAGTCCCATGGGTGACCCCAAGTCTCATGCAACATTTCAACATTTGTTATTTCAGTATTATATGGCACTACTTCAGTGGGAGGAAGTAGATCCTAGGAACAGCTCAGAACTGACCATTCCTCCTTTCTGTCCCTCTCCCAAATTCAGAGGCTCTAAGTTAGTTCCAGGGAATGACTCCCAGTGAATTGCTCCTAATGGCACGAGACTGATGACATTGTTTGCTTCTAGAACCATTCACATTTAGTGAAATCACATTTCTTCAAATCCACACTCTTGTCAAGTTCTGCCAGATATCTTAATAGAGCCGCTGGAGTTACACTATAGGCTTCATCATATTTTCTTTTTCTTTTTTGTTTTTAAGAGAGAGAATTTTTTAATATTTATTATTTAGTTATCGGCGGGTACAGCATCTTTGTTTGCATGTGGTGCTGAGGATCGAACCCGGGCCGCATGCATGCCAGGCGAGTGCGCTACCGCTTGAGCCGCATCTCCAGCTCGCTTCATCATATTTTCTATGACTCTAGGGAGAATGGGTGAGCCCCCAGA